ATGCTGGCCATGCCTGTAGTGGTTTACAGAGCGCTATGTATTGTATCACTAGAAAGTAGTATCAGTTCCATTGATTTAAATTCATTTCAGGCTTTGTCCTCTATTTTATGTTTTTCATTTTTATTTTTTTCAATAGGTAGTGGCAAGTTTTGGAGCTAATGCTCATGCTCTTGTTCCTCATAAGTCTCTACTATCCTGTAATGTCCTGGCAGTTGTAATTAGTGCTATGTGATGCTGCAGATGGATAAGCAGCCAGTCATAAAGGCAGACAGTAAGAACTGCATCATTTATACCATAAATACAACATAGGCTCACAAGTTAGCACAAATGCTCAGCATTTTCTTCCAAAAGTGCAGACAACTTAATGGAGGCTGCCAAAAATGCCAGAAGATTAAGTATAAAAAAAGATTTCCAGCAGAGCAACATGAAAAAATTGCCAGAAGGTAGGTTTATCTCTTATTTGTACCCAATGCACCGCAATCAGAGATGAGCTTCAAAGCTTTGGAAGGGGGGTGGCAATGTGGAGAGAAACATTTGCCTTCATTTTCAAAAAAGTGGCTGTAACATCAGCTTTCCTGTCATAACAGTTCTGCTATTTTAAAATGAAAATCAGTGTAAAAAGAAGGGTGAATATTATGCAGTCTGCTTGGCCTAGTGGATTTGTTAACTTACTAGTATTATAGTTTCTTTACTATACATGCTAATCAGAAAAATAATGTCTTCGAAGTTATGTTGGGGGACATAACAGAAAACACTTCTGCAGCCTGATTAAAAAAAAACAAACTTGAAGTATGCACTTTACAAAGTCATTTCCATTATTTTCCAATTAAATGTTCTTAGGTGTCTTCATCTCCAGTAATATAAAAGATGAATGAAATTCAGATATAAGCAAGAAAAAGGAGAAAGGGAGCCACTAAGGCAGCCAGGAAGATACTTTGTTGCACAGAAAATGACCTCACCCTTTCCACTGACTTTTTTTTTTTTTTTCCTTATTTGTTTCCAGTGAGTTCCCTTCCATTAAAAGCCACCAATGCTTCTGCAATGGCAGCTGATTGCACTTAGGTAGATAACACTGATAAATTGTATCTTATTTTAAATAATGGTTTATCTCACCTAGAAAGGAGTGCCCCAATCAGTCACTACCATAAAAGACTTACATAATATGGAAGAAAAAGTGCCTTCAATTTTCAGGTGCATTCTCTGTTCCTATTGGCAAGATGATAGGTTACACTGATAAGATGGATGCACTGTTCTATCTTAAAAATGGCCAATGTAGAAAGATGAAAAATCTTTCTTGCTAGAGAAAACTTGTCTTACAGAAATAGGAACAAGAGGGGACGTTTCAGCCCTGGGGAAGAATACACATATAATTCCAAGAATTCACTTGAGAGATGAATTCTGACTTAAAAAGAAATAAATAAGAAAATTTTTAAAAATCAGCACCTCTGGGCTAACTGACCAAAGAAGAAATAAAAAAATGAGTTAAACTTCTTGATATTGTATGTTCAGCACTTTTATGTCCTTTTGGACTTTCCGGTTCTGCTTCTATTACAGAACATCACTGTCACGCCTAAATCTCACTACTGTTCACTTTCCAATTCCTTATTAGTTGTCTTATTTCTTTATGATCAAAGTTGTTAGCACTTTAGAAATGTTCATTTAGATGAGGTGATGTAGACTTTGTCTAAAAAGAAAATATCTACCACAACAGTCAATTTAGTTGTAGAGAGGAACATAAAATATGAATCCACTGTCTCTGTCTTTTCCTCTGACAACGTGATTGAAAGTAAAAGGAAATTTGCTCAGTGATTCTAAATTAACTAACACAGGCTAAAACTTGTGAATGTTGTATTCAAAGGGTGAGGCTCCAGTGACATGTCCCAAGCACACAGGAGATAAGAGTTCCAGTCTCTTGGGGCAACTGCGGCTTCTAGCAGAAAACAATGGCCACTAGTGATGGCACAATGTGAAAGATAGCAGGAGCAGCCAAATCCTGGCACTTAAAAGTTTATATTGCCTCAAATTACACTTGACTTTGTACATAGTTAAAATTAAACTCTTCCATAGTTCTAAAGCCACTGCCTGGTAGCAAAGGAATTGCTAGGAAAGATTACACACGCACACAAAACAACAACAACAAAAACCCAAAACACAAACAAACAAAAAATCAACCAAAACCCACGGAAAAGTCCTGAACCAAAACCACGTAAGTCTTAATGTAGTTAGGAAAGTAAGTATCAGACAAAAACTGTAACTTGCCACAACTGCTCCTTAAGAAGAATGCTTTTTAGTAATACTATTTCTATTTGATTATTCCTTTCCTTACTCATTGTACTGCTTAGATACCACGATCTAGATCAGAAAAAGTGGTGGCTTGACTTCCTAGCAAAACCCGATGCAGACAATCTCTTTGACAGAGGGAACAGTGAAGTATATCAATGAATGAGGATGCCATCCACACTGTAGCCTGAAGTCATCTGTGTGGGGGATTAGCAAGAAAAACTGGTTTAGATCTGTGTAGCTCAGAACAGAGATGTCAGTCAGAATTAAGTGCAGGAAAACCAGAGCTGTTCAGATCAACACGGGACTTCTAGCCAATATAGCCAGAACTGACACCATTCTGATAATACTGAAGCTAGAATTTGCTAGCATACATAAAGATTTGGTTCACTTTGTATGCACCATTTGTGTTGGAAAGAGTATCTTGATGTCATGTCTATTTCTTTAGAGGGAACTAGGGGTAAAACTCCTCTTTTGTAGTTTCTGAGGAAGTCTTCACTGCCAAAAAGCCACACTGAGTGAACACTACACACAATTCACTTCTAGTCCTTGTTTTATGAATATACATATACTACGAAGCAAGGAATCCTTCAATAGTGCAATAACAAGTTGGGTGTTTTCATATTGAGAAGGTGTTGTTCTATAAAACAGCTTTTCAAAAGCAGAATCAGCTGATGACTGCTGGTAGGAAGGTTTATTTCTAGACAATCTCTCCAATCATTGCCATGATTTTCTGCAAAAGCTAAAAAAAATAAGAAAAATACGTAATTTCATAAATAAACCTTACTTTTTGGAACTACTGAACCCCTCATCACAACAATTAAGTCAAGTACATAGCTGTTCTTAGACACCTATAGTAGCACTCCCAGATACTGAAACATCCCAAACTGCAGCCACACCAGAAAATAACCTTACTGTGGAAACCGTGCAACCTCCTTGGAACTGTACCTTGTACAGGTATTAGTGAGCACAGCATTTCACACAACACCTGGTATTTTAAAATAAGAAATAATACATAAATGGTTCCAGAGGCAAATCTAGACAAATATTTGCGGAGACATTTATCAGTAAAAACCAGGCAATTATTTTGAGGAATTGCTATCAAAAGGTAAGTCTGTACTTTGGCCAAGCTGTACAGAAGCTCTTTTTCATCATCATGGCTGGGCTTCGTGAACGAAGATATGGGAAGGGCTCTACCCACACTTGTTACAAGCGCACTGATGGCTAAAAAGGCCAATGCGGGATAGGCAAGTCCGGTTGCAAAAGGCACAGCGGAAAGTCTCCTTAGGCGGTCAGAAGATGCCTGTTGGCCGTGGTTAGCCAACCGGGTGGAGGGTGGAGATGATCTTTGGTTAGGCCACCTTTTCTAGGCCCCTCTCCATGTGGAGCAAGTAGTGCTCTCCTTGAAAAAGGCTGCTTGGTCATGTTGCCGAACAAGACTGTCATCTCTGGGGTCAGTCTCAAGTGACCAATGTCCTGACCTGCCTGCCTGCAGGGTTGGGTCTGCGGCTTCCAGTGCACCTTATCACCTGCCATTTCGTCCCTCGCCTGTCGCTACACGAAGGTTACACCTGCATTTGTGATGTCAAGCCTGCGCAATGGATTTTTTAGGTGAGGCCCAGTGTGCGCAGAACGGGCCCCATCCTTTATTCCTAAGCTTCATCTGCCAGGGCCTAGCGAGCTTGGACAGTGACAGCAAAGTCCTCAGGACGTAGGTTTAGTTAGAGTATCCTTCTCTTAGATGGATGGCCTTACAGGGCTAAACGAGCTCCATCTGCTCGGGTTTGGAGTTAGAGTTGTCCTTCTCCTAGGATAGTTGCCGGGAGGCCAGCGAGCCCATCCTGCCCACGGACACACTTAGTCTGACCCTTCAGTTGAGACCTGTGTCTGGCATGGGAGACCCTATCGGAGGCATGTGCCACCACCAGCAGAGCTTGCAACCTCGTAAGGGCACACAAGCTTCTCCCCCGCAACAAGGGGGTGTCTGTGGAGAAGACAGAAGCTCTACTTTGAGAATAAACAAGGCAGGCTAGAATATATGATTGCTGTAAGTCATTTCTTGATTAAAAACTAAGGAGCTTTGTTTCACAATGTGACTAAAGCAAAACAGCACTGGGAAAACTGTCTCAGGAAGTCCACACACAATATAAATCATAGCCAGTTTTTCCATACCTTTCTAGACGCAGGAACTCCTAAAATATCAAACCAATGTAACTTGAAGTTGAATACTCAACCAACAGAAGACTCTGTAGACATATTTCTCAAAAGAGATCTGTAATCTACATCTCTCTCTCTCTCTATATATATATATATACACATATAATAGCATTAGCAATTTTTATTTACTCAGCTGTTTCTTCTTCACACATTGTATCCTTCTACCTTCTATTCTATACTTAACACCTGTAGCATACACTAGTAGGTAGCATTTTTTCTTGGATTAAATGGCCTGATGCAGGGTCAATGACATAAAGAGGAAGCTTTGCATGGGCTTCACTAACTATGGATCAGGATTTGAGATAGAAACGCAAGATCTTTGTACCAAAGTGCTACCCTCAAAAATATCTTTTGTCTGTTATCAATGTTAAGGATTTCAAATCAGTTATCATTAACAGCAGTCATTAATTTTACGATTATATTCTTATTGTAAATTTCCTTGAATTTAAACTACACGCTGTGACTCACTGATTACTGACAAAGGAAAAAACTCAAACCTTCATTCACACAATAAGGCTTGGGTCCCAGGAAACATGTCTCCCATCATGCATTCCATTCAGAATTTCAACATCATCTTCTGCTATCGTAAAATCAAACACCTATGGGAATGCACATAGAGTTAATGTCATGAATGCAGAATGAGGAGTGTTTCTGTTATTTAAACTGACCAAAACTCATTAAAATCTGAGGCATACTTTTTCTATATTTTTCTCCTGGAAATTCTTATATTCTGTCATACATAAATATTCAACTAAGGGCCCACTGGGTCCTTTGCTCCTTTTGTGAATCATTTTTACTTGTAGACTCTGTTAAGATGGTTTCATGGTGCCTTGGCCTCAGGCAAGGGTCCAAGACAGTGGCAGTATTAAAGCTGTTTTCAACGGCACTCCGTATGGTCCACTCTATATGGTTGTTGCCTGAGGTATATGAATACCCTGACTGCAATCCCTCCAGAAACCTAGGCTCAGTATTTCACTTGTATCCCAATGTCCAGTTTAGCATGTTACAGTTTTTTCCCTCAGAACTTCAGTCAAAGAGAATTATTAGAAAGCATCAAGATGTTCACAAAGCTAGTAAACCAAGGCTATATCTATATTTTCTACACGTACTTAGACAAAACACTCATGGATCACTAATACAGAAACAGCGCTACAATGCCTCAGTACTAACTCGAAAGCAACCACCTGTCTTCATGCAGAGGTTCTTAGAGCCACCGACCTCTCCTGTGGTGAGACCTGCAACATGAATGACCGTGTCAGTGTTTTCTCTGCAGGTGTCTTATTCGGACATTATCACTTCAGAACTGAAGGTGCCTTAAGTTGATCTGTTGCCCTAGTCAGAGCTCCTCCATACTGAACAAAAAGATCCCGTGGAGACTGAACTGCTGCCAAATGAGCTCCTCCCATCCTGCATTATCCAGCAATCAGTCTGCTGGAATGAGCCTTGTGAAACCTCAGTGCTCAAGCTTTTTAAACCTAAACCAGAGACTAGTCACAGAACTAGAAAATACTTTATACTATCCTGTATCATATCATATCATGATATGAAGTCCATACCTTCACTATCTTGACTAGAGGTGGTAGAGTCAGGCCAGCACATTGGCATGGGGGAAAGAAGGAAAAAAAAAAAAAATAAAGGGAGATGTGATAAACAACATTCAGTTCTCCCTTCCCTCTCTCTATCCTAAGAGTTTTAGATTTTGCTGCAAAGCATTCCCTCAGTTGTGCAAAATGAATTGGTGGGGGCATAGAGCAAACTGTAAAAAACAGACTTAATCTGGATTTAAAATAGCATTGGGAAAATAAAATTAATACGGATTTTCAACCCGGTTTTGTTCTCCGATTTGGTTCACGATACAGTACCACAAGTACCACAAGCTGTGCTTGTACCACAGAAGGCAGTGAGAACGTCAGAATAAATAGTCAAGGCAGAGACTACAGAAACAGGCATAGCCAATAGCAGAGATCCTTATTACATTGTACGTTGATTTACACCTACACACACACACACAGTGATTTAACCAGCAGACAGAAGTTTCCTATCTTCTTGCAAAGTTTCTTCCTGATTTGCCGAACATTTTATATGCCTGTGATATTTTTGGAAGAAACAAGGTTGCTGTGGTTTCCTCTCCCCTCCCCCAAAGAAAGCACATTTTCAGATTACAGAAATGGAGAGAAAAATTAAGTAATGATTTAAAAATATTTGTTATGAAAAGTAAATTCAAATAGGGTGAGGGGAATCATTCTGCCAATCCTCATCTGTTCCCCACTTTTTGTTTTCCATTCCCTTCCTGCTGGGATCTTCAAGCAAGTTGAGCTGGAGGAAGACTGCAAGGAAAAAGTCAGCTCTGGCAGGACAGTGATCTCTTTAGAAAGTGTCTATGTGGGATTTCCTCAAGGGAATTTTACAGCTTTCATGCAATGTTATGCATAGCATACAAACTCCTTCCACTGACCTATGTGCCTACCATAAAAAGGGCCCAACCATAACCAGATTAGGATGTTCTGCAATTAGCTAAGTCATAAACAAAAATACTACTAATAAAAATCAACTATGAAAGGTCTTTCTATGGATATCTTTTTTTTTTATACACAGTGATTAGCTCTCCAGTTAATTTCTGATATTTGTGAACTACGGTTTTCTACTATACTGTAATGACTTTATAGTATGACAATGTGCCAATGTAAAATTGGGCGGGCAAACCAAAATATTAAAACCAGCAATTCAGATGTTACTCAGACTTGAGTCCATAAGCAAATCTTACCTTGCAGTTTTCCTCTACCCTTTCTGGTTTTGTGGACTTTGGAATAGTGACAATCCCATTCTGAAAAACATAATGCTTCTCATCATTAAAATGTACAAAAAGAAACTGATCCATCTTCAAAACATTTCAAGACATTTCTGATGTTTTCCAAGGTTTTAATTTCATGTTTCAGAGGACACGGACATTTCTATATGCTATTTTTAATTGCAGTTATATATACTGCGTTAAATTCCAACACAGGTTATGTTGTTTATGTCAATGTAATACAGTATTCACTGCTCAGTACTTTGTGTCGCATGATAGAAATGGAATGATACCCCATACTGTTTGTAATATTTAGTTCGAAAATATCTCTGTTGGCAGTTCTTTTTACTCTCTAGTCAGATTATTAGCATATTTAAAATATCGCCATGCTTTGTGTACTATATTCCAAGTTTCCAGTACAACACAGTTAGTTCACGTGATATCAACATATAAAAGGCAAAAATACTCCTCACATAAATTCTGGTTTGATGCACAAAATATGAATGATTTGCATTTCTTCCTGAGAGAGGAGGCAAGTTTTCATCACCACCCACCATTACCTGTATGCTCCAGCGTATGCAAATCTGTGCTGGAGTTCTGCCATACTTCTTTGCCAGTTGAATGATACTAGGATGAGTGAGTGCTTCACCTTTGGCTAAAGGACAGTATCCCTCAAAAACAATACCTCTGCTCCTACAATAATCAACCAGCTCCTGAGGTCTTTGGAAAGGGTGGTATTCAACCTTCAAGAAATAGAAATAAACGTGTAGTAAAATCCTTGAGAGTACATTTAGTAGAAAACATCATTGATAAATGAAAATACTTTTTCTCTCATTTTAAAAGAACAACGTGAGTGAAATCACTGCTTCTGGGAGACAGATGCAAGTTACTAGTTTTAGAAGACATGTGAAGGATGTTAACCCACAAGCATTTTGCCATTAATCGGCATGATATTTGATTATGTATTTTATGTTTCCCCCAGAAGTAAGGCGCATGGAGCAGTTGTCTGTCCTACCTGCAGCTGGACTTGCACTCCTGTTCTGCTCCAGCTTCTGAGAAATACACACAAATGCATAGCAGAAGGCAGCAGCAGGTCACTGCTATTGGTGATTTAAGACTATCTTCTCTTCTTCAAATCTACTTCCTTTCCTGTTTCTTTACAAACTGTCTTAGAGTTACACAGGCAAGGGGAGGGGGCTGGGCAGGGACTGGGTTTGCAAGAGACCAACCAGAACAATTTGCCTAGGGTGAGGGCCTGACCTCGGAAGCAGAGTCTGTTGGCATGGAGCGTACATGGAAAATCCTGTATTCTGTGTGCGGTGTCACCAATAGCTTATGCAGGGAAGCAATCATGCTGTGGAATGAAGTGTAAAGGAGACTCTTTGTAGGAAGGAAGATCACAAATTGCCAAGAGCCAGTTAACAAAGGAAAAGTAACAAGCTACAAAGAGTTGTTGGAAGCGAAAGGAAACATAAGTTATTGGAAGCTAAGGATCTCGAAGTGCCATGAATTCTGGCATGTAGCAAAAGTCAAAAGAGAACCAATGTGATATTCTTTAATATGTTATTTAAATAAGTATTTCACAGTTTACGCACTCTAAGAAGCATGCCTTCCTCTGCACTCAGATGAAAATGGGTTGTGTTTTCTTTTATAAAATACATAACCATGTGATGTATTTCTGTGACTAGCCGTCCCCATTGTTCCAGTGATCTAACTCTTGCGCATTTTGAAGAAAAACACTCTCCTGAACAATTACCTCAACACATGGAATCTGGAAAATTTCTTCTGCCACAAAGAGGACAAATGAACATTTCCTGTTTCTCATCTTTAGTACATGTTGTCTTTTCAGACAACAATAGTTGGGAACAATAGGCTGGCAGTCATTCAATCTGCGCTAAGAAAAAACTGCCCCTGGAAGGCTGGGCTGAGTCAGCCTAAAGCTGCTATGATCTAAATTACTAGGTGGACTCGGGAACAAGGTTCAAGCAGCAGACATCCATGTCTTCAACCTTTGATGTTTCTCGACCTTTGAGTAGCCTTTGTATTTCATGTTTATATGTGTAAGACCAGTGTTTAGGTCATACAGTTACTCACTTGTTTGTAACTGAGCGGACTAGAAAATACTCAACTGTTTTTATGCAAAACTATGAGGGGAAAGAAGAAAGAGCAAGCAGGGTGTATGTATTACATGATTGTTACAATAGAAGTAAGCAATTTCAGTACACATTCTTTAAACAAAGTATAACAAATAACATAGCCTAGAAAATAATAAGGAAAGAATGATGTATTTAGGATCAAAATGCTGAAAAATCTGCAGTACTCCTATGGCATCAGGTGATTCCTTAAGCATTTACTACTAATATAACTGCAAGCAGAATCTACCTGCTAGGCTAGTAAGATTTCTAGGCAGCACAGTTCCAGGTTACAACAGAAGCATTTAAAGCAAGAAAAACATGCTGCAATGTCACCTGCCTGCTTCGCAAGCAGAACACACAGCAACAACTACTTCCCACTTGGGATACTTTGTGCCTTTTACTGAATCATAAGACTCCCAGATTTTGTGAATGAAATTTTGGCACATGTAGTTGTGTGCTGGTAGCAGCAAATATTTTTCCTCCTTAAATATATTGTTAAAATAATCAAAGACATAAAATAAAATACAATATAAGCACTTGTGAATTTATTTTTCTTGAGAAAACTTTCTGGAAGATCCTAGCAGCATCTGAACGCAAGGGACTAGCATCCTGGGCTATAACAGGCATAGGGTGAGTGACCAGCATGTGCTTCCCCTCAAAATAATAATTCCTACTTCCTGGCTTGCCCCACCCCTTGCTATTTTAGTCATCAAACTCTTCTCAGGCGAGGGCGGTCCATCATATGGTAGTAGAAGATCTTGATCTTTTCTGGCACTCTACCCTGATTTGTGCATAAACACTGGCATTTGTTTAATAAAACAGTTTGCAGTTCACATTACAGAGCTCTTCGCCAGCCACAGAGGAACTCTAAGTAAGCGCTGTTTTTTATGACAGTCAGCGCAATGGGGAAAAGTTAAGGCTAATAAAAATCCTGACACACAGACCTAGACAGTCATACCTTGGATGACGGTATACAAAAGCCTCCCTCTTTCCACCCTGCTGTGGGTTCTTTTCACTTTATAAAGTTTCTCCGCATCTGGACGTCAGTCAGTTTGTCAATGGGAATGCACAGTGTTAGAATTATTTCTCTTTAGTGAAAACATTTCTAGGCTTATATTTCAGTTTTAAATAGAGGAACATTTCAGGTGAGTTTATGTACAAAGGGGTCGTTTCCTCAAAATACTAATGCATTTCTATCTTGTAAAAATTTACACCACAGATCTCAATATTAATAACAATATTCACAACATTACTAAAACTCCCTGAGGTCATTACACGGTAATTTGCAGTTCTATAAAAGTAGAAAAAATATGATGAGCATTCTCACATGGAATTAAGAGAGGAACAGTTTATATTTTGTTTCAGTGTATCACTTTATTAAATGAAACATATATATTAAATTCTTTAAATTTTTTTTTTCCCTAATGAGTGACAGGCATAAGAACCTTCAAAGAGACTTCAAAGACTTCCTTGAACATTCAAACTTACTACTGCAAAGTCAATTACAAACTCTGGAATACAAACCTGTAACTTTTACATTGTAGGTTTCATTCTACATGATGCTAGAATGAAGTATTTCTCATAATTTTACTCAGTGTTTAACAGTAGAACAGTATTTGAAAATAAGTTCATTGAAAGAGTATGCTATTTTATGCATAAATATAGCACAGATCTTTTGTATTATAAATTCTGGACAGTGAAATAAGAATTCAGTATAGCACTTCCATTCCCAATTTAAGTTTAGGAATTCATTTGTTATTTCCCTTTAGTGAAAACATTAATTCAAGTCATCTCACCATTAGATTCAGTAACTCTCCAACACTAAGCAAGAAACAGAATAAACACTCTTTTGAGCATTATCTGAACTACACTTTCTAAGATTCCCGTAAGACTAAAAAGTGTAAGTGAATGCTACAACAATACTGTTCAAAGGGGAGCAGTTTGCAGTGGCAGGGATATTTCATTGCTGTTTTCTTTTGTTTGTCTTTAATTTGGAACAATGCTGTGCATCACCTTAAAGAAATGACTATCTGAATACAGCAGGGGCACCCTCCCACCCCCCAGTATCACGACTGTCTCGGCTTTATCTGCTCTTTTTCAGCCACAAAAAAAACCAAGCTACCATCAAAACCCAACTTTTCTCCATTAGTTCTACTGACACACTAGAACTGGTAACATTTTGACATTGTGAGTAAGAGGAGATTTCAGAAGAAAACCATTTTCCATTGCAGTGATTCAGGAGGACACTGAGAGGCTATTCTTATTTAACAGACAGTAACATCTTAAGCCAAACTCCAGTGAGACTTTGAAGATGTCCATTTCCGAAAAGAAGATGCAATTGAATTTTGGCAAACTCACCGATTCTTAATTGGTCACCAACTTGCCCATCTTAAAACATATTTCAATGTTTTGAGTAACTGAATTTAAATATTTTATACAGTTTTATATTAATGTAACATTACTAATAATTGTCCTTTAGTAACCCTTAGTCTAGTGGACAGCAGGTTGGGTGTTAGGTTCCAACAGTCACGTTCTGAGTGACCTTTTTGTGGCTGTTTATGACACAAAACCATACACGGCAGCCAGAAATCCTCTCTCCACCTGTACAAAGGGGAAAAGCATGCACCTGCACTGCATCCATGCCAGTTCCCAGTTCTGTGTCAGCATAAGCACACTTTCACTGGTGGGAGGCGGCAGCAACGGAGGCATGAACTTCCAGCACAGCTGTGGGCAGAAGAAATCTGCAACAAGGGAATAGTTGGCAGTGTCCTGGAAGTCTGCTGGTACGTAAGTGGCCATTTGACATCTGCCTAGGGCAGCAAAAAATTTTTCCAGGGTTCTTGCAAGACCTTCCTAAATTACAAGTTCAATGAATTTAATGCGATCTTGAAATATGAATATGAAATAAGGGGGGGAGCAAGGGAAAGAAAGCACCCTTGTACATAATCACCTGAGCCTTTCAGTGTTGCTTGGAGGAATTATATAAAATATTTGAACACAGTCTCTCCAAAACCTTGTTCACTCTGGAGATGCTAAATGTTCAGATGCTAAATGTTCCTTGAATTTTATTTCTAAACTGTTTTATCATCAAAAAATGGCACATGGACCATATGTTTGTACCTTAAGCCACAAGCACGTAGCCTGGGAGAAACCGGGTAAAAGAAAGGAGGGAGGACTCCACTCTCCTCCCTTTGGGTCATCTTCTTGAATGGTTTTCAATACGTACATAGAAATGAAAGAGAAGAAATTGTATGACTAAGGCTAGTTTGGGTGTTGTCTTTCAGACACAGGGGTGGAGAGGAGATTATTAACCAAAAAAACCAAAGCAAAAACCCAAACCCAGATACTTTAAATATATTTATCCACTCACCTGATTAACATGTGGAGTAATCACACAGTCTTCCCTTAGTTGCTCAAGATGACTGATAAGAAAGTTGCTTACACCAATTGATCTGCACAAACCTAATGAGAAATAGAACAAGAAAAAGCTTTGGGACAATGCTAACTATGTGGGATGGTGATTTGAAAAATATTACTTTCAAGAGACAAAATAGTTGTAGGCACCTATTTGTATAGCAAAATACTGCAAAGTAACACAGAAAAATAGTACCAAAATCTAGTTTGACGGTATTATCTGAAATCACGTTTGTCGCAGTCACACTAGGAAATAATTTTAAAATCTAAACACACTGGAAACTCCCGAGTGTATAAAAACTCCAGCCTAAATTCTGGGAAAGGCTGATGTAGTATAAGCAAAGAACAATTGGTCTCCATGAGAATGAAAAGAAGGAAATGGTGTTCTGAGCAGCTTGCCAAAACTAAAGGAAAGTGGAACATTTACTGAAGACTAATAAGGTGTGAGCAATATAGCACAAGGACACACAGTCCAAATGAACTATTGTAGCACCACTTATATTTCTATTAGACCATTATATGCTCTATAAAACTTGGCATAAAAAATATATTCAAGTCAGTAGTATCTAACGAGAACCAAGAAGCTTAAAAACGTATCTAGATTTCTTAGCTCCTGCTGACATGCAAATAAAGCTGAATGGCACATGGGTGATATGAAGATTATTTTTTTACTAAGCCTTAAGTGTGCACACACATGTATAAATTAAATGCTGACAGTCCTGAAATTGGATGTCTTCCTTCAAACCTCAGATATGATAAAAGCACAACTCCCAATACCGGCCTGCCACCACCCCTCAACCCTGACTTATCTTTCATAATTTGGGCCTCACACTGTGCTAAGCCCAGTAAATAGCGAAACCAACTGTGGTCATGCTGGCAGGGGGCTCCTGAGGCTGTGGATTCTGTGGACTATGAATCAGAGTAATTTCTTCAGTATACGAACTTTGTCTTGATTGACTTGACCTGCACTGGGAAGTCTGACCCAAGGTGTGCAAGCACACCTTGTTGATCCAGTATTTGTGTCAATTCTATATACTGTACATGCATGTGCTTATCTATATACACACATACAAATATCTATAGCAAAAGAGAAAGGAATTACGCTAAAAGTTATAGGGTTTTTTTTTTCAGAAAGACATTAGACAATTTCAGGCATTTGACATCAAAAGAATAATTTGTGGACTGAAATTGCCCTCCTTTCACAGTTAAAAATTGCCACTTTCTTGAGGTCAGCAGGGAACTATGTGGAGCTGCCTTGATTTGAAGCTGGAATACAGCCACATAAAAAGAACTTACTAATACAACTGAGACACGTAAATACGATAAAAGGAAGGATTTTATTCAAAGCAAAAGCTAATGAAAATGCTGGAAAAATGTACTAACGGGGTACTTATTCCTAAAATGCCTATGTTTTATTGACATAAAAAACCCAAACAACTCTCAATTAAACTATAAATTGGCATATAAAAATATGAGCTACGAGATTACAAAGTATCTTGAATTTGCAGGTTAGATTTACCTGAACAAAACAATGAAATTAACTTCTCTGGTCTGCTATGAAATTCTGCACATGAAGTTAGTTTATTGCTAATCTTTATAAACAGATTGCTAAAGCGCTGAGAAAATTCACAACCCAGTTTTGCATTTAAAAAGTCACTAACCATATAAAAATACTTAACTTGACTGCTCTGTTGCTTTCACACATTTTAGCAGCACAAGCAGATAAGATGCAGAGCAGCAAAACCTGCAAGTATGCACTTTCACTTTTTAATGTGGTTTCTTTCATAAAATACAGAAAGGAGAAAAAACACACTAGAAACTAAAATGCTAGACAGCCGTCCCTTACAGAAATGATAATTGTTCAAGATGTGTAACATAATTAGGTAATAACCTGCACTATAGCAATTTGCATAATTTGTATGTGATCTGCCAGAAGAAGCAAAATCTGAGCTTTTGACTTCTGCTGACAAACAACCTTGGGGTGTCAATACTAATAAATCATTATGCCAAAGTAGTCAGATAAACACTTGCAGTTTTAATACAATGGTAAACCAAAATATTATACTCCATTGTTGAAAGCTAAGGAGTTACATGCTGGTTTTGCCCTTGAAGCATAGAGCTTTTATTTCAGGCTGAAATAAAACAAAACTCAAATCATAGACATAAAATATGAAAGGGTTTATTAAACTTATCCACTTCCACAGAAAGCTTCCATTTTTTTTGCCTACAATATACTTTCAAGATGTTTTGATTCTAGCATACTTCTCATAGGAGACTTTGATGTCTGTTGCTTTCACTGGAGGTTTTTTTTAGATTTCCCATCAAGAAATTTCAGGTCAATCACGTTTTGTCTTAAATCATCTGAGCTGCTCCTACTAAAATCATTACTATGGTATTACTGTGTTTAGAGTGAAGTTGCACAGAGAAAGCTAATTCAAAATTGCCAAGAAAGTAAACATTTTTTCTAGACAACAAAGAAACAATAATTAGAATTTCAGTGTTTTTGTTGAACCAACAGCTTCTTAACATTTTTTGGTTTTTAAGGGAGTACAATTAAACCATTAAAATATTTAATTTTCGTTTATCCACATGTTTCGTTCTGGTAAAGTTAGAACCCTTGGTTTCAACTTCATTGCTTTGTTTTTAGTCAGTCTAATATATGACAAAATGTTTGGACTTTTGTATTTAATTACAATATAAAATACAATAAATATGAAAACAATTGCAAAGCCTGACAGTATTAATCTTATTTCAGTGCATGGTGGGAATATGAATTCAAAACACTGGAATTTCCTGAAAAATAGAGACTCTAAATATCAATGGTTTCTAGTATACTTCCATACAATCAATGGATTCTACTCCAGAGCATTGCTTCCATTTGCTTGATAGAAGATTAACAGGTTGCTCTCCGCTGCCTAAATCTAGGAAAGACTGCCTTAAAGCAAGGGATTAGCCACCATGATTTTCACATTTACACCTGCTGGATTATTTCCTAAGAATGAAAAATTAGAAAATTATAGTCTGGTTAGCTCCCAGGCCTTATCCAACAGACCACCAATTGTGACTATGTATATATCAAACAAGATTCATTAAATGTTCATATCAGGAGCAGAAACAAAAAAATACATACTGAGAAACCTGCGTAAAAGAGTCCTAACTCAGTGTCTTGAAACAACTTGGGACACACACACATTTCCTTATATGTCCTCTCACAGAGCTCAGACAGAGGTAGATTCCCCAGAATCTGTGCCACAGGGACACACTAGAGTGCTCTTGGAAAGGGGGAAAGAAAGAACATTTATGTCCAATTTAATACCCATTTAGTGTGCTTCAAAATCCCATTTCAGACAATTAAGGCACAACTCATGTCTTAGTTGTTGTGACAGTAGGTGATTTTAATGTCTATACTTCTTTTTAACTTAGCCAGTCTAACTAGTCCGGAAGTTCAGGTCCTCTGAGATAAAAGCTTGCAGTGTGCTAGCTGCAATCCCTCTAGAAAGTATATTTTTTAAAAATACACATTTATATGGTCTTATTTATAAAGTCACAGAGCTTTGACTCCAGGAGAGAAAGCATCCTCCTCATCTGCTTGAGGAAATGAGTGATCTGGCCCCTATGAAGCAGATTCTGAGAAAGTGCCAGGTGCAATAAACCGAGATTGCAATTCCCCATTAGCTCCCAAAGCTTGCTGAGGCTTTGTCCTACTCCTTGTCACTCTGACTTCACAGGCTTGAAGGAAAATTTGGCAGTGATGCTTCTTTTATGCATGCTAAAAATTGACTGACCACAATGGTGCAACAGAAATTTTCATCCATCTTTGAAAAACGATCATGAAACCCTGCAAGACACATTAGAAAACATATTGGCAAAATAATGGCTGATTTTTATGGGAAAAAATTAGTATCTTTTCTATTCTACACAAGAAAAACCTTCAGCTTCCACCACACTGGTAATTTCACCACTCTATATTACTCCCAGCTGCTGTAAAGCAATGCATCATGCTAATGGGAACTTCTCTGCAATATAGTTAGTTGTGTATTAAGCTTAAAGCATTTTTTTTATGGGAACCTAGAGAATGATTGGGTATTTTTTCCCTTACTTGGTATAATACCAAATTATGCAAAGTTTGACTGGCACTGTTAGTCCCGCAACAAAAAAAGCATAAATACATTGCCTTGGCACCACGACATTGTTTTAGTACAATAGTGAGCCTTATCTTTCTCTAGCACTACTATGGATTTTTATCAAACTTCTAAATATGCTCTGGAACATTAAATGTACAAAGTTCAGAGCAGAAAGGTTTTTCAAATGACAAAACTGGATACTGAGCTTGTGAAGCCCATTTTCCTCCCCCTCCCTGCTGCTCTACATGAGTCAGAGCAAGGGAGAATTCCCACGTCCAGTGAACAGTGCCCGTTCTGTTACATCTTCTATTCAGGCCACAGAATAAAAACACAAATGGATCCACTTTTCACAAGAGGTCAACTGCAGTAACTGTATCTTTATTAAAGAAGGTTACACAGGTTGGAAAGGTCCACATTCTCTCTGATATGCATGCTAAGAGCTTCTCCGTGGATAAATGGTATTACTCATAGAAATTAGATTCAATTCCAGCACAGCTTGCTAATCAAAGCTGTAACCTGACTGTCCCACATGCAAACTGCAAGCCAAAGCCCTGATAAAAAAAGCAGATGGCTCTTAGAACCAATAAGGAATTAAGCTCTAAATCTATGAAATAACACTTGTTCACATTTCACAGATTAAGAAACACAGACACCAAAAGGCTGTGTCCTGTTCAAGACACACAGGAAGACTGTGGCAAAATTGAAAATACAAAAATCATGCTTCCTCCCACAAAGGATTTCTTATTAATTACCACAGTATAGGTGCTTATCTGCCCTGCTACTACAATTCTACGATCATTACTCCTGCTAGAGATCATCTGTGAACCACGATAAACTGTGAGGACAACAGGACAGCAACATGAGTAGAAGCCAAATTGCCAACTTCCGTGACTGAAAACTCATTATAAACACTGAATTTACACA